CCTGAGGGAGGAGCCTGGCTAAGCAGGACAGGCAGAGGCAGATGAAGCTGGTTCGGTTTCCCATGGTGGCAATGGGATTGTGATAAGGAGAGATAAGAGGAGCACAGGAGAGCTGGGGCTCCCGCCCTTAGCTGTGCTCATGGGCAGTGAGTGATGGCTGTTTGTCAGATGGATCGTTCAGGTGTTGCTGCATCCCTTGTCCAAAAGGGAAGAGGTTTCACTCATTCATGCATCTTTGCTATTCATGTTCTTAAAGCCCTTTGAAGCCTTTGGTGAATGGCTCATTCGATAATGGAATTGTACATTACAGATTAAAAACAACAGATACGAAGGGGTTGAAAGAGAGTTCAGTTCATCACCAAATGGGGCATCATTCCACGTGAGAACAAACACCCCCCTGCTTTGGGAATGTGAGAGAAACCATTCTAATCCTCCGCATCCTGGCTCCACTTTTACATGCTGGGGACAGGTCTCGGGTTGACAGAGCTTCGTGTCATAGCATAAATGTTCACCTCACAGCAGCCTTCCAGTGTCTGAAGGGGGCCTATAGGGATGCTGGGGAGGGACTCTTCATTAGGGACTGTAGTGATAGGACAAGGGGTAATGGATTAAAACTTAAACAGGGGAAGTTTAGATTGGATCTAAGGAGGAAATTCTTTCCTGTTAGGGTGCTGAGGCACTGGAATGGGTTGCCCAGGGAGGTTGTGAATGCTCCATCCCTGGTGGTGTTCAAGGCCAGGTTGGACGAAGCCTTGGGTGAGATGGTTTAGTGTGAGATGTCCCTGCCCAGTGCAGGGGGGTTGGAACTGGATGATGTTAAGGTCCTTTCCAACCCTGACTATTCTATGATTCTATGTATATTAGGTTTGAGTTATGGTTTGCTCCTACCCGGTGTTTTTACCAGCCCAATAACAGCGAGATCCCACTCAACAGCCCCACCCCCGGCTCAGGCTGCAGCGAGGACCCAGTGCGGAGGTTACTGGAGCCGTTTGCCATCTGGTGGTGGATGAAATCGCAGCCGGCTCTCAGCTCTGGGGCAAGCACTGGGTTACAGGCCTTGGAAAACCTGTACAGCCAAGGTTTTCCTTGGTTTGAACAAGGAACTGCTCAAACCCCAGCTCATCTTCCTCCAGAAAATAACCTCCTATCCGAGTGCTTAAGAAAGTCCTTCCCTTTTGCATCCTCTTTTCTTCATGCTCATGGATCTCAGTGCTCAAGCACAGCTCCTGGGTGCTTAGAGACACACTCAAGAGGCAGGGTTTTGTCTTCTAAACTCAAGGCAATGTGTTTCCTCCTCCTCGTTGCTAGTACTAAAAGGTGGGAAGCCCTAGACCAGCAGACACTCTTTCCCATTATGGCCTTGCCAGCCCAGTGCACACAATTCTTGTTTCAAGCACAGGTGTGATTCTCCAGTTTGGCTTCATTTTGTCTCCTCTAATGGGAATCCTTGCTCTAAGAGACACTTTGCTGTTATCAATAGCTGCTCCCTTTCATGACCTGCTGGAAGCTGGAGAACTTTTCCTGTACCAGACAAGATACCTGCAGAAGCAGCCTCATCCAAACGCTATTGCTCACCAGGGTCAGAGTTTCCATGTTGAGCTCTGATTTTAAACCTACCACAGCTGCCAGAGGTGTCATACCCCGACCTTGGTACACAGTCTTGTACACTGGGAAACTTGGGGGGGAGGATTCTCCATCAATGGATTTGATGATAAACTGGTGTCCTTGGCAGTGAGGGACCACAGAGGCTTCCTGCCCACTGATACGTGTGAGGATCCAGAAAGGTTAACTGCAGCAGAGCTGGAGATGTGACTGGAATGTGTGCTAATTCTGCCCTCCCCAGATGCTTGAGCTGTTTTAGCTGCCTGTCAGTGTGCATCCGATGATACCATTGCTGGGATGCCAGGAATGCCTTGAAACACCTTTTAGAAAGCTGGGAGCAAATAACCAGCGTTATTCTGATATCCCACCCTGGGGTTAAACACGGGTTTAACTTACAACAGCTGTCAGTGCACATGCACTGGCTCCTTTCTTCACTGCTGTGATTGGAGCTGTGTTCCAGCCCTTGGAGGATCACCACAGCCCTGCCCCTCTCCTGATGCACACACACCAGTTGCTGTGCTGTTTCCAAGGTGTTAATCTTACACTTAAGGCTCATAAAGCCTCACCTTATCCCCTCTGCACATTAACCTTGGGCAGTTATTAGGATAAGGACTTTGCTTTGTTGACCCTGAACATAACTCTCTCTCTCCCTTTGTTTCTGCAACAGTTGCTGGCTGCTCTCCACTTGGGAAGTGGCTGCAAATCCTCCCATGGAAGTCAGTGGGAATATTCCATCCATTCCAGTGGGAGATTTCATGGAGCACAAGGTAAAAAGATCCTTTCCAATAGATGACCTGTAAAGCTACCGATACCTAATGAGCTCTATGGCACCAGGTGCTTCATACTATATACAACATCTCAGGTAACTGGGGAATGAAATGGAAGCTCTATAGCTCCTTCAGATCATGAACATTCAGTGCAGACCCTTTGCTGACAGGCAAAGATGTGAAGATTGACGTTTTCAGACTACAGTTATTTAAGGCAAGAAATGGACCATATCTTCAGGGGCACTTCCCTTTACTGGAGTGACAATATCCACCACCTCACCAGGTAAGAAGAGATTCCTTATAGTCTAAGACAGGTATGTAAAACACATGGTAAACCGTGGTACAGCCAGCAGAGAGTGAACACAGCAGGAAATAGCACTGACAAACCACAGTATCAGATGGAGAACAGGCCACCCTCTGAAAAACAGAGGAAGAAGAACACGGGCATAGGGACCATGTGGAATATGGTTCTTCCTGTGCTTCCTCTTCTTTGTGTGAGCTGTACCCCAAAAGACACAGCGCATCACAACAGACGTGCCTTCAGGGTGCTCCATCCACAGCAGGTCCCTGTATGTGTGCAGCTCGGCATTGGAATGCCATGGGAGTGGATGGAAGCATTGCTAATCGAACAATAAACACAACTGTACTGCTGGCAGGCCTGGCTGATACAGTGAGACTGGGAGCTAGAGTAAAAGCTAGGGACTATCTTCTTCCATGCTTGAGTACACGAAGGGCAGAAACATTACCTCCCAGCTCAAACAAAACTAAAGGGCAGATAGGAGGTGCTGAGGCTTGTTTCAGTTGCTCTTTGTAGAGCTGTTTGCTCTCTTTCGGGTGCAAACCCACTGAGCTTGTGACACTGCCCTCAAAATTAACAGGCAGTCAACACTGAAAGCTTATGGGTGAGATGTCCATGCAAACAAAACATCGAAGAGCTCAAGTCCGCTTCTCATTTCGATGGAATTCAAACTGCAGCAAAGGATCTATGGGGCTGAAGAGCTGCACTGAGTTCCTGCCCCCTTCCATGACAGCAGTCAAACCACATAGAGTAAGCTTATGCTTCGGTTTCCCATTGATAGCATCAAGGCAGCAAAGTCACCCCCCCATGATTCTACTTGCCAAGCAGTGCTCTGAAGGCTTTGAGGTGTTTCACAGCCACCGAGCACCAGCCAAGAGCATCACAACTACAGCTCCTGGTTTCGTTTCCCCATCAGTGAGCTCCCTCTCCAAACATGACTCAGGCAGATCTCCTGCATCCTGCAGTCCCACACGAGTATTCCTGCTTTTAATCACCAAAGTGTGACTCTCCACAAACATTCCTTGGATCCCCAGGAACCTGCAGCCTGCTGTGAATCCAACCTGAAGGAACGGTTTCACCGTGTCGTAAAATGCTCCTTTAATAAAGAGCAGATGATTTAACCAGGAGTTTTATGTGAAAATAACAAAGTGCAGACCTGGGGCCAGTTTCCTCCCTAGGAATCATAGAATCATGGAATCATAGAATAGTCAGGGTTGGAAAGGACCTTAAGATCATCAAATTCCAACCCCCCTGCACTGGGCAGGGACACCTCACACTAAACCATGGCACCCAGGGCTCTGTCCAACCTGGCCTTGAATGCTGCCAGGGATGGAGCATTCACAACTTCCCTGGGCAACCCATTCCAGTGCCTCAGCACCCTCACAGGAAAGAATTTCCTCCTTAGATCCAATCTAAACTTCCCCTGTTTCAGTTTGAACCCGTTACCCCTTGTCCTGTCACTACAGTCCCTGATGAAGAGTCCCTCCCCAGCATCCCTATAGGCCCCCTTCAGACACTGGAAGCTGCTGTGAGGTCTCCTCCAGCCTTCTCTTCTCCAGGCTGAACAGCCCAAACTTCCTCAGCCTGTCTTCACACAGGAGGTGCTCCAGCCCCTGAGCATCCTCGTGTTCTCCTCTGGACTTGTTCCAACAGTTCCTTTGAAGGCTCCAAGAAACAGTCTTTAACCCCAAACTCCTTCCAAGCACCATGGAAAGGATGTGTCAATGGGACCATTCCCTGAGCTCTACCAGCAGAGCCTCAGCTTGCCCTGTGATCAGCTCCTGACACAAACTACTCCTTAATGTATGTGGAGCAAGTGGGCACAGCTCTATGTACACTGGCGTTGTGTGAAGGGATAATGTCATTCTGTGTCATAAGCGTTTTAGGATGGGGACGTTCTCCTCTATGCGGGTGTGAAAAGGGCCTGAACAAGCAGCTCCCTGACCCATTACTCCCATCCACACTGCTGCACATGGTCACTGGCTGCAGCTCTCAAGCTTCTTTGCACGTGTTGGTAACCTGGCTCTGCTCCATCCCTTTGTCTCTATTGACATTTGCTATCCCCCCTACAGCAGTAAGGTGAGTCAGCACCTGAAGGAGCTGGGTGCTGATTCCAAAGGGAAGTTCTCCACTGGAAACAACTATCCCAGGGCTGTTTCTTCGTTGACATGAAGCGTATCCAATGCCCAGGTCGTGTTGCAGCCTGAGCATAGGAATGCACCAAAGGGAACCTGCTCTAGTAGAAGGTGTCCCAGCCTGTGGAACCGAATGATGTTAAGGTCCCTTCCAACCCAAACCATTCCATGTTTCAATGAAGACAACAGACAAAGCACTTTAATTACTGCATTATCTTTATTTGTATATCAGAGGCTTGCCCAGCTTTGGGTAGGCAAGTTGAGTCTAACACCCTGTTTTGTTCCAATTGGAGGATGTGGCTACCATCACAAAAGCATGCAAAGAAACAAGGTGTTTCCGTGCAGCAGAATTGCCAGGATAGAGACTAATTGATTCTTTCACAGATCTTCATGCCCAGAATGCTTGGAATTCCAGCACTGGCACAGCCATTGACATTCTCTCGTGCTAAAAGGAACAAGAAAATGAGGATATTGAGTGACAAGATCCCTGTATCCAGTGAGGAAAAGTCTGCCTACCACACAGATTCAATCCCCAATGATGGTTCTGTTTGAGGTTTCTGTTGGTCTCGATGGATATTGTGTAAAGTGTTTATGGTGTAGCTCAAAGGGAGGAAATGTCTGTACAGATTTACATCACCTTTGTGCTCCACCTTTCCCATAACCTGCATACAGCAGGTAGCATATAGCATCCAGTACATTCCATGTGGGACTATTGTATTGCTGGGGCATCAACTGGGTACAGCTGCCACACAGTGGCTCCTTCTCACCCCAGGCAAACCACTTTGGAACACGGTTTCAGACATAAGCATCCCAGAGCCTTCCCCTTTCAATCCTATTGTGTAGTTTACCCCTCCTCTCTAAAGCAGAACAACATATTCCTGCCCCAAAGGTATCATTTGGACTTAGTTTGGAAGGACAGAAAGGTGGTTATGAACTGTAACAGGAACATCATGTTCTCATCTTGGAACTTACGGCTGGTGCTTTCAAGCTGGTAGAGGGGCAGACCCGCGCAGAGCTGCTCAATGGGTCTCCCATAGACAAGCCAGTCTCTGGCACGGCCAAACATGGAATTGCCAGGTTGGAACTGTACCCACACATTGTTTGGAGAGTACACTTTTCTCATAGCCTGAAAGGAAAGCGTTAGGCACCATCAGCAATGTAGCTTTGGGTTCGTTCTACGGCCCCAAATCTAAAATCCCCTTCCTTTGCCTCACACAAAGCAGTAGCAAAAGAAGCTACATACTTTTAGAGGAAAAGAAGTATTTTCAATCTCATCAGGAGCAATATCACTTGATATTAACTGCCAAGATAGCAAAATGGAGCTGCATTGCTGCCACAACAAGCTCTGCTAGTAAGTTTTGCTGTAAATGTGCTGTCCTGTAGCATCAGACAGTCCAGAACCCAAGGGAAAGCCAGTCTAAACTGCTTCCCAGGGCAGGGGATGTTGCAGTTTTAGTCCCAGTGCCAAGTCACTACAAAACCCTGTATGGGGCTGCCAAGATTGCTCATCACCTGAAAAGAATGTTCTATCTGACATTGCCTTCCAGTTCCATCTTGTCAGATCGCCTTCATCATCTTGGGAATGGAAAAGCCATTCCTAAGGACAGCTGCTCTCAAAGGCAGAGCAAGGGGCTGCTGTCATAGAATCATAGAATAGTTAGGGTTGGAAAGGACCTTAAGATCATCCAGTTCCAGCCCCCCTGCCATGGGCAGGGACACCTCACACTAAACCATCTCACCCAAGGCTTTATCCAACCTGGCCTTGAACACTGCCAGGGATGGAGCATTCACAGCCTCCTTGGGCAACCCATTCCAGTGCCTCACCACCCTCACAGGAAAGAATTTCCTCCTTAGATCCAAACTAAACTTCCCCTGTTTCAGTTTGAACCCATTGCCCCTTGTCCTGTCACTCCAGTCCCTAATGTCACAGCACACAACTCTGACAGCAGCCTTTCCTGCATGGGTTTACTGTAGTTACCTGTCTCTCAAAGGCCTGGCGTCCGATTTCTTCCAGCTCTGGGATGTCTTCCCTGTTTATCTTCATGATGAAGCAGGCATTCCGTGAGAACAGCCTCGTTGCAATGTACCCCTGTGATTAAAACAACGGAGTTCATGAATTAAAGGCTACCACCAATATTAGCTGATTGTCTAATGCCTTAGGACAACCTAGAAGAAACATAAAGGGGCTACTACTGTGGAATGAATCTGCCCCTTTGGGGAATGGAAGCAGCCTGCCCAAGCTGATGGCTGTCCATAAGGCTGGAAGGATCTTTCCCAATAGACTTGCTACACAAGAGTGATGGAAGCCCATTCTCCCTTGATCTCATGGAGGTCAGAGGCATCCTTCTCACTATCCCAAGCTGCCACCACAGATTTCACTGTAAGTCACCACATCACATGGGTGAAACAAAGAGGTTGCCCAAGAGGAGTCTTCAAATAAATCATGTTTCAGGATAACTTATGATGAGAGTGCTCTAAAATGATTTCTGAGCTTAAAAACTCAAGGCAGGTTCTTAGATTTACTTACACGTGAGTAGTCAAAAATGGTATCAGAGGAGTACATGCCAGAACGGACATGGACATCAGCAATCCTGTTCTCATTGTCGATAGTCATCGTCCCAGTGACATAGCCATTCTCAGGTTCTTGCAGGACAAAGGTCTTGGGTAAAACACACAAAATCATTGGTCATCATCTGCTTGCAGCTTTTAAAGGGGCAATAAACCCAAGTCCCAACACTTTATGTAAACAGTAAATCCCTTCACAACCCTATGGCAGTCTCAGGAGGCTCTTGAGGTTGAGATTAATTGTGCATGAGTGTGTCAGAGTGAGAAAGGAGGGGACAGGCTCCTGCTGCAGGCTCAGGAACAACACCACAGGGCATCCCAGTCCCTATGTGTACTAGCAGGAGACTGCTGCAGCTTCATCCAAGGGCATCTACACCCCAACACATTTCTTGTTACCATGCACTGGCATAGAGCTGCCTCTTTGGCTTACATGATTGCAAATGCTATTTTTCTCTACACTTGGCCAGAAGCACCCTGTGCTTTTCCTCCTATTATCTTCCCCCCCCTGCCCAGGACCCAATACATGTTAAATGAGTACATGCACTACAAGGCTTCTCATTCTACTTACGTCCAGTGCCGAAGTCTGAGTCCAGAAGACTCCCAGCAGGACGAGGACTGCAGCCTGTGAGAGGAACACATCAGACAGTGCCACAAAAAAACCCAGTTCAGGAAGAGAGGGAAGCAGCATCAGTTTGCAAAATCCCCCACTTCACACATGTATTAGCTGAAAACAAGTCTTCAGTTCTTACTATTAAGCTCTCTTTTGCCTGCAACTGGTAAAGCAGAATGATAACTCAAAGTCCCTCCTCAATGCCGTGCTTCTTCTTGATTTGCCTTCATAACCACAGCTGTGAAATCACAACTAAATCCCCCTTCTGAATTACAACTGAGTTCTGCACAGATGATGCTTCAAAGGGATCACTGTGCCCCCAGAGATGCAAGTTCCCTATGAAACAACCCAAGGAAACAACCCACAGATCCCATTAGCCCCAACACTGTACCACATACTTGAGCATCATCTTCTCTATCCTTTTGCTTTCAGAAAGGAGGAACATTTTCTAACACAAGCTCAAAAATGGATATACTCACAAGCCCGTTCATTTTCCTCCAGATAAGACCAAGAGGCTGCAGAAAGGAAGAATGCAGGAAAAGCCCAGAGACCTTCAACTTTTATATCTTGCTGGAGGTGTGGGAAACACTTGACAGGAGTTTTCTTGACCAAGTCCATATCTACACGCCAAACTATGGCAAAGCTCATATCTGAATTTTGGGCTGGCACAGATAACCTGACCCCGATATGATAAAAGCACTCAGGAAGTCAGCTTTTGTGAAATGAATCACTCTGCCAATGGCCATTATTCAGTGGTTTAAACTTCAGAGGAGTTCCCACTCTTGGTGGTTCCATTGTTTTACATATTTAACAGGATATCGTCTAGAATGAAACGGCATCAGGAATAACTCTGCTATTCATTCCTACCAACTGCATTTCGTCTTCTGGAATATAACCCCTAACAGTCTGCAGGCAAATCCACCTACGTCATGGTGGCCTGCTCATGAACAGAGTAATTCATCAGTCATTTCTTCCATCCAATATACCCATGAGCTCTTGACAGGGAGTGCTGCTTGGGTTTGATCGGTTACCATGATGGATATAACACAGGCATCGAAATCAGTGATGGAAGCAGGAATAACAGCTGTCCTGCACAAGACACTGCAGGTAACTTTCAGCCTCCTCAGCGTACATGGACCTTCAGAGGATGTGCAGTTCACACAAGGCCACAAACCCAAAGGAGCAGGATGGGGATTCCTCCTTTAAAGCTACCTCTGTTTTCTGTATTTAATCCAAGTGCCAATCATCAGGGACTGTAGGGATAGGACAAGGGGTGATGGGTTTAAAGTGAAACAGAGGAAATTCAGGTTGGAGATAAGGCAGAAGCTCTTCCCTGTGAGGGTGCTGAGGCGCTGGCACAGGGTGCCCAGAGAAGCTGTGGCTGCCCCATCCCTGGCAGTGCTCAAGGCCAGGTTGGACACAGGGGCTTGGAGCAAGCTGCTCCAGTGGAAGGGGTCCCTGCCTGTGGCAGGGGTTGGGACTGAGTGAGCTTTAAGGTCCCTTCCAACCCAAACCATTCCATGATTCTATGAGTATTCCTCTATGAATAAGACCTTGCCTGACTCCTCCTCAGCTGTGACTCCACACCAGCCCATGCTGGAACGTTGACAAATCACACTCTGCTTTCTATTAGCATCTCATAAATGAGGCCCATTCCCTTCTAAGAAAACAAGAACTCAGCCTAAGAGCCAACATAGCTCTGTAATCTCAGCCACTGGAAGAAAAGGTGAGAGAGATTGCGTGGAATCTCTCTCAGCAAACAGGCCTCAACAAAAAACAAAGGAAATTGCACACATTTGCTTTATTGCCCAAAAAAAAATGGTACCTCAAGTGTAACAAAGCTGTGCTGATAAGCAGGTATCAGAATGCACATAAACAGATATAAACTGAGAAGCACTGCTAGACTGATTAGATTAGACTGCCTGAAAGCTGGCTCTGCCCCTCCTGCTCAACAGATTCTTTGTTCCTGACATTACAGATATGTCAGAAACACTCAGATTTCAGCAGCCAAAGGAGCCTTTCAGAGCAGGGATCTAAGAGGGTTCGGGTGCCACAAGCAAAACCAAAAAGCTTGAGTAAGTTGAAGTAAAGCTTAAATAACTTCATGTACTCATTTCTTCTGAAAAACACCCAAGGTCGAGCTTCTGCATTTTAGGCACAGGTGAGAGCAAGGCAACTTGTGAAACCCTCAGCTATTTCATGAAGGACAATTACAGCAGCCACCATCTCCTGATTTCCACCTCCCTCTACACTGACTGGGTTGTGCTGCTCTGATCAGACAAGGCCAACAAGGAAAGATTAATTCCTTAATTAGCATTATTGCAAGAGACAACCGCTGCCAGATGCTACAGGCAAAGCCTGCGTACACTGCCAATAGGGAAGCCTTGCTTTTTGGAGGCTTCCCCCCTCTGTCCCCTACCTCCCAATAATGCACCTGAAATCAGTGCGCAGGCACTCAGGGGCAACGTTATCCATGACAATGCGAGAGTCATGGAATCATGGAATCAGCCAGGTTGGAAAAGAGCTTTAAGCTCATCCAGTCCAACCATTCCCAGCCCTGCCAAGGCCACCACTGACCCATGGCACTGAGGGTGTGTGAACACTTGCAGGGATGGTGACTGAGCCCTGCCCTGGGCAGCCTGTTCCAATGCCTGAGCACCCTCTGGGCAAGGAATTGTTCCTCAGCTCCATCTAAACCTGCCCTGGGGCAGCTTGAGGCCGTTTCCTCTTGTCCTATGGGTTGTTGGGAGAAGAGATTGACCCCACATTACTACAACCTGCTGCCAGGCAGTAGTGTAGAGTGATAAGGTTGCCCCTAAGCCTTCTCTTCTCCTTCAGCTGTTCCTCATAAGACTTATTCACCAGCTCCATTTCCTTCCTCTGCACAAATTGGACAAGGGGTGATGGGTTCAAACTGAAACAGAGGAAGTTCGGGTTGGAGATAAGGCAGAAGCTCTTCCCTGTGAGGGTGCTGAGGCGCTGGCACAGGGTGCCCAGAGAAGCTGTGGCTGCCCCATCCCTGGCAGTGTTCAAGGGCAGGTTGGACACAGGGGCTTGGAGCAAGCTGCTCCAGTGGAAGGGGTCCCTGCCCATGGCAGGGGTTGGAGCTGGAGGAGCTTTAAGGTCCCTTCCAACCCAAACCATTCCATGGTTCTATGACTCCATGAAATGAAAAGGATAATTGTCCAACTGCAGTTCAAGCCTGATTACCACGCAGGAATTCCAAGGTAGATGGATTCAATCATCATCAGCTCCTGGTGCCTTTTTTTTCCCAGCTCCTTTTGGTAAATATGTACTTTATCAGGGAGGGAGCAGGTAGTGGGAGGAAGGGGAAGAACGAAGCAACACCTCAAAAAATCAACACCATTCTCTCTGCTTCCATTAGCAGAATGCCACGCACGAGATAAAGATGGGGTGACACAGCCTAGAGAAAAACTGGGTGGCACAAAGACAGGTGAAGCAGAATGAAGTTAGAAACTAATTCAAGCTTCAAGGCTGAATGCAGGAATGATTTCAGCAGTTGTGCCCGTGTTAGACAGCAACATGTAGAAAACCAGGTAGAAATGCGTGTGCACGGAATGAAACAGGAGCTGCAGTAAAGGTTTAAAGCCAGAGCAGCTCTTCACCTTAGGAGTTCCCTGCACAGTGGTGCAAGAGGTTTGTACAGAAACAGAATGTCTTGAGCAGAGCTTTAAAACTGGGAGAGACAAACTTGTACTGGAACAAGAACAGGGTCTTATACAGTAAAAGCAGTCCTCCCTGCCCTGTTTCCTGGCTCCTACTGCTGCCATTAGTTTCGTAAGCTATTCCTAACGTCAAATGTGTGTGTTTGCCGTACAAACCACTCAGGAGTTGATGGAAGGATTGGAGGTGCAGGCTTCCAAGTATGACACATCACTGTAATGGCCAAATTGGCTGCGGTTGTTGGAAGAAATGGGCAAAAGTGCTTTCCAACTGATTGCTAACGACACCACAGGGATTAGCATTCCACAGTTTGGTCTCAAAATGCCTTTCTTGAGAACTAGTCCATCAATCAAATATCCAGAGGCTACGAGAGGGTTTCGTGACATGCAAAATAAGGCTTCTCTGTGCATTTCGGGTCTTGGAAGCTAAGGATGTACCTGTCTCCATTTGCCATCCCCCTATCAGTCCGATTCGAAGACCCATAAATCTTTTCCCTTAGGAATTTATTACTTTCATTCATCATATTTTAGCTGCAAAGTGGGTGCAAACTAGATGGAAAGCAGAGCTCTCTGCTCACAGTGCTGGCAGAGCACAACACCTCCACTGCACTCATGTAGCCTGACCAAGGCACCAGCCAGCAGCAGAATGACAAGAGCATGGCCCTGACTGGTGTAAATGAGAATTGGGCCTCACCTTCTCAAGTACAATAAGATTCTGTGGCTTTTCCAGTAAGAGCTTCACTAAAGATCCTCAGCTCAGTTCAGAGACTTGGGTTTATAATGACATTGAGTCCCCATTGTGCCATTCTGGTGATGAAAAGGGCAGCTGAAGTGTGTAAATCCACACTGCCCCACAGCACAGTGCATGGTCAGCGTACAGAGGTACCAAAAGAGCTGCTATCGAATAAGAGTAGGTACTTCTGGAGTAGGCAAATAGCATCTCTGAAAGTGCTTCTTCTGTAACAGGCACAAAGAAACAAATCCATGTTATCTGAGGTGATACACATATATATAATCTTAGTTTATTATTTCCTTTGAAACAATAGTGACATAAAATACTCATTGTTACTGCTCCTCCCTTCCTCATCTCTTGTTGCCCCTAGCTTGTGGGCCCTTTCTGGCATTAGCCCTTAGTCTGTAATCAGGTCCTGTTCTCATGAAGAGGCTCTGTGAAGACACAGAGGCTGCACCCAAAGACTGACAAGCAGATCCAAACAGAGCGAGCTCAGACAGGTAACAAAAGAACTTGGTAATTCCTAGGATTTAGAGTAACCTCATGGTTTCCAGGGACTGGCTTAACATTTGACACAGCAAGGTTAGCACCTCCGTTGATATGAAAGCTGGTATCAGCTATAGATACAATATCAGGCTGAGTCCTTCACCTGATGTTTTGCCTCCTGTCCTTTGGAGACACAAATCATCACTGCAAATTTCATTAGGCATCTGTTCTCCAGTTCCTGTGGTTTTTTTCCCCATTTAAAAGTTACTATGAACCGCACTGAACCGACCATGACAAGGCTCCTTTCACCTTCCTGCACATAATGAACTCCCTGAGGTTGGTATCAAACCTCCTCTTATCAGAGCACTTCCCCAGGAAGCCCGGCGCGACTCTGTGAACACAGGGCACGTGCCAATAGGGTAAAGCCCGTGGAAGGTTTAACTTTGGGCTATTACTGTATAAAAAGAGTACACATGCATTGCCAGCAGCTCTCACCTCGCCTACCACCAAAATGAAGGTCACTGTAAGTATCTGCATCACTTTCTCATGAAATGGGTAAGGATGGATGGCTTTATTCTGAGTCTTTCTCGGTGCCGAACTGACTCGCACTGATTTGTGCAGGGGCTGCAGAGGGATAACGCC